AGGGGATTATAATCAATGTAATGAAACAAGTCATATGAATGGTTGAATGTGAAACTGATGATGTGCCCTGTAAACTTTCATTCAATCCACAATAAAAACCTTAAAAAAAAAAAAAAAAAGAAAGACTGGGGTAGAGATAGTTCTGCATGCATTCTTGGCAGCAGGAAGAGTAGAGAGCGGGACCCTACCCAGAGAAGCAGTGACACCAGAGATGGAGACAGGGACAATGACGTGGAGAGATGGAGCAGTTGGGGACTCTAGACCCAGCGCAGGAGAGGGGTTGTGTGGTGATGGGGGTAGGGGGGCAGGTTTGCAGGGTATACCCTGTTTTTGGTTGATGATGCATGGAGGGCATTGTAACCATGGCAATGAAACAATATACGATAAGATGAATGTAAAGATAATGTTCTCCCACGTAAATGATCACATAATTCACAATAAAACATTTTTTTAAAAAATATGGGTAATGTTAACAGTTGGTGAATCCAGGTAGAGTATATGGGAATTCTTTATCCTATTCTGGACATTTTTATGTAAATTTGAAATTATATTTAAATAAAAAGTAGTGGTGGTAGTGTGCCATCGAGCTGGTTCTGACTCATAGCTCAAGTGTAACAATAATTGTGAGGTTGATGCAGGACTGGGCAATGTTTCTATATGTTGTGCAAAACGTTGCATGAGTCAGAACCAACTCGATGGCACCTTACAACAACATAGGGTTTCTGAGGCTATAAATCTTTACAGGAGCAGAAACTCTCATCTTTCTCCCGAGGAGGGGCTGCAAGATTTGAACTGCTGACCTTGCAGTTAGCAGCCCAGCTGATAATCCACTATGCTACCAGGACTCCTAAATAAGAAATAAAAGAAAATAATAGTTGTTCTGTATAAAAAAAATAGATTACAAAACTGTGGCAACCTTGGGACCCTCTGAGGTAAACAGTGCCTTTGTCAGTTGTTGTTAAGTGCCATCGAGTCAGTTCCAATCCATAGTGACCCTGTGTAGGGTTTCTGAGGAGCAGCTGTTGAGCTTGAACCACCGACCTTGTGGTTCAAAGTGATTTTGCAGTCCAACGCATTAACCCACAGAGCCACACCAGCGCCTTTATCTGTTGTTGTTAAGTACCATGGAGTCTAGGAGAGGGTTATTTGGAGTAATGAGCAAAGTAATGTACCAATACTGCCCTTACTAAGGAAGAAAATGTATAAGTTACTCACAGCAGCGCAGTCTCTTGTCAACAGTTGGTATGATCTTGTTGGTGAGCCAAACATCTTCTTCCCAACTAACTACATTTCCATCTAAACATTTCATAAAATCCTCAATCTCCAGGATGTGGTCCCAGAGTTGAAAGTAGTACAAGCTGCCAGTGAAACCAGGCACAACATTTCTAACTTGGCCATCCCCATTCTTGGGAAAGTGCCCTAGGACTAAAGTCCCACTAGGCTTCAGGTTTTGTGGTTGATCCATCATCACCAGTAGTCTTTCTTTATTCAGGAAGAGCTCTAATCTGCCCTTCACACCATCCCATATCAAGCATACTGTATGCCATTGAAATGGAGTCAGATGGTAACGGATATAAAAAGTCTTGCCCAAGTTGTATAGTATTAGTTGCTGGTGGTCTCCTGCAAGTCCAAGGTCTATGTCTTCTCTGCCCAGGAAGGTGTTATTAATAACATAGGAGAAGGCTATCCAATCACTTGAGTTGTCATCCATGAATACTAAGTCAATGCATGCTGTAAATCGGCTGAGTTCAGGAATGGTGTTATTCAGGTTTACATATGTGTCCTCTCTTCCGTAAAAATCCAGCTTTTTCCCTTTCAGTGAAAGTGCATCTGGTCCACATTTGAGGAAAGAGAAGAAAAAAAAAAAGCAAATGAAATGTATATTTTGTGATTATGAGTCAAAACCAGTACAAATAAGACAAAATAGTAGATACACTAAAATCTATTTGACATTGGCATGTGATTTTTTTAGTAAAGAGTTTCTTCCTAATTATATTTTGGTTGGGCTAAAATGAAAAGTTAGATTAGTGATCCCAGGGCACACACCAGCTGGACAGTTTGCATAGGCAGTCGGAAGTTGAAGGAGGGCAAAGAAAAGGCAGCTGAGACTTAACATTTGTTGCACATAATGCTCACTCACATAATCAAAAGATAAATACTTCCATCCAGCTAACTGCCTTATTGTATTCATGATACAACAGCATTTTGTTTTTCCAATGCTTTCCCTGAGACAAATTATCTGACTTTATCTATCTCTGAAAAGTGCGTCTCACCAAAAGGTGAGAAGGATGACCAACTGAACATCTATTTGAACTTGGGAATGGGAGAGATGGCAATGTCTTGAGTGTATCCTGACTTCCCTCCTTCCATATACGCACTAAGGGGGCTGTGGTCGCTTTTATGGGCTCTCCATGGTCGTGGATCCAGTAAACACTGGCTCTGTAGTCAGATAGTCTAGGTTGAAATCCTAGCTCTGACACTCATCAGTTGCATGACTTTTGAGCAGGTAACTTACCTCCTGATGCCTCAATGTTTGATCCAGTAAAAAGAGGCTTAAAGAGTAGGGTATTTATTGTGTTGTGTACAGCATAACTTCAGGGGCACCATTCACATTACAGTATATGCCAGATAATAAACCTTATCTACTGACCTGAAGAAATACTTGGAAAATTAAGTGAGATACGTATGGAATGCTCCCTCAAACATTGCTAATGGGCATGTCTATTGGTGCTATCTTTGGTGGGCAATTCAACAATACCTATGAAATTTTAAAGTGGGAGACAGAAAGGCTTTGTAGACCCTCTGCAGCAAGGATATGGAAAATTGGATGAGACACATGCAGAGGATGGTCCTAGAACTCTGAACTTCAGATGAAGGGATAGAGAGGTTGATCAAGTGCTTACTGGGGGAGAGAGATGGCCACACATGGGAAGACAAGAGGTGAATGCTAAGCTGTGACGGTCGACAGGACCTGCCACAGCCATCTTGAGTGTCCGTGAGCAACCTGAGAGACAAGAAAACATACCTGTGGCTCACAGAGACAAGTGCGATTTCCCCCCAACCTTCTGGTTCTCCACACTCCCTTGGTGACCAGAGGAGAGGCTGGCCTCCAACAGCATACACTATCATTGAAATTCCTGCTTTCCAGGAGGTCAGGGCCACTTGGCGATTGTGAGCCCCACTGAAGCGGGAGAAGATAATTGCAATAACCCTATATGGGCAGGCTCTCCTCCAATTCTGCAAAATTGGGTCTGGCCAGCCATGGACTAGTTCTCACTAGGAGAAATGGTTGAATGGATGTGTGGGGTAGAGAAGAGGGACTGGTTATCCGTGCCTGACAAACAAAACATGACCATCTTGAACTTTCTCCAATTACTGTGAAGACAAAAGGCTAGTAGGTGGCTCGAGGTTTACCACTTACTGGTGAAGACAAAACAATATCCAGCTTTTGGTTTTGATTTTGGTTTTTCTTTTTCTTTCAGCATTATTTTTTTTTTATCTTATTTTATCTCTGCTATTTGCTGGTTTGTTTGTTTGTTTCTCTCTCTCATGGGTGTGCTTTCTCTTCTTGCCTCACCCTACAGGACACAGCAACTGCAGTGATATAGCCCAACCATCACCATACCTTCTACAAACCCAACAAGTGGGATATAGCCAATTGGGAACTCAGTACAGGAAAACATGCAGAACAAAGAAACCAGCAGCACCAAAAAAAATCACAGCAAAATTACTACAATAAATACATTGCTGTTAAGTACCATCATGTTGGTCTGACTCATAGCAAAACTCATAGGGTTTCCTAGGAGGAGCAGGTAGGATTGAACTGCCAATCTTGTAGTTCAAAGTCCAGTACTAAACTTACAGTGCCACACCATGAATCCAAAAGTAAATTTTGTTGCTGTTAAGTGCTGTTGGGTTGATTCCAACTCATAGTGACCCTGTATAGAGTTTCCGAGGAGTGGCTGGTGGGTTTGAAGTGCCAGTCTTGCTGTTATCACTCCAGTGGTTATACTACAGCACCGCACTAGGACATCAATACATACTTATTAATAATTACACTGAAAGTCAATGGATAAATGGAAACAAGAGAGTAGCAAAGTGGATAAGAAAACAGGATCCTTCAAAATGCTGTCTACAAGAGATACCTTACACACAAAGACAAACACAGATTGAAAATTAGAGGATGGAAAAATATACAAAGCTAATGTCAATAAAAAATGAACAGGAATGGCAATATTCATTTCAGATGAAACAGACTTTAAGGCAAAAACCAGCATAAGAGACAAGGAAGGACATTATCTCATGATTAAAGAGCCCATTGAACAACAGGACATAACCATAATAAATATCTATGCTCCCAACAAAAGAACCTCAAAAATACATAACTCAAACTCTAATAAAATTGAAGAAAGAAACATAACTCTACAACAATAGTTAAAGTTTTTGAAACATCACTTTCAAAAAAGGACACAACAACCAGAAAGAAACTCAACAAAGACACAGAAAAACTAAAGAACACAATAAATCAACAACATAATCAATTGACCTCATGGATTTATAAAGGGCACTCAACCCAACAACAGCACAATACACATTATTTTCCAGTACACATGGAACATTCTCCAGAATATATTAGGCCACAAAGCAAATCTCCATACATTTGAAAACAATGAAGTACTACAAATCATTTCTGAAGATCACAATGCTATAAAACCAGAAATCAACAATAGGAAGACTATGGAAACAAAATAAAATACAAAGAAACTGAACAACACCTGCTTAAAAGCTACTGTGTAATAGAACAAATTAACAAAATAAATAAATAATCACTTGAAATAAATGAAAATGAAAACACAACATACCAAAACCTTTGGAACACAGCAGAAGCACTGGTGAGAGGTAAATTTATAGCAATAAACACACATATACAAAAGTAGAAAGCACCAAAATCAACACATTAACACAACATCTGCAACACTTGGAAAAAAGACCAGCAAAGCAACTCTATAGTCACCAGAATAAAAGAAATAATAAAGACCAAGTGTGATTCATACCAGGGATGCAAAGAAGCTTCAATATTAGAAAAACAATCATCATAATCCATCATATAATAAAAAAAGGAAAAGATCCACATGATCACATGGATTGAAGCAGAAAAAGCATTTGACAAAATACAACACCCATTCTTGATAAACACTCAACAGAAAAGGAACTGAAAGGAAATTCCTCAACATAATTGAGAGCATATATACAAATCCAAGAGCCAACATTATTCTCAATGGACAGAAACTGAAAGCCTTCTCTTTGAGAACAGGAACCAGACAAGGATGCCATTTATCACCACTCCTATTCAATATTGTGTTGGAAGTCTTAGCCAGAACTATATATCAAGATAGGGAAATGAAAGGCAATCAAATTGGCAAAGAGGAAGTATAACTCTATTTGCAGATGATCTTATCCTATACATAGAAAATCTCTAAGACTCAGCAAGAAAACTATTGGAACTCATGGAAAGATTCAGCAAAATAGCAGGGTACAAAATCAATATACAAAAGTCCATTGGATTCCTTTATACTAATAAAGACAGCTCTGAAAAGGAAATTAGGAAAACAATACTCTTTACAAAAGATGTAGTCACCCAAAAGATGCAATACTTAGGAATAAATCTAATCAGAGAAACAAAAGACCTACATAAAGAAAACTACTACAAGAAACCAAAAAAGACTTACGAAAATGGAAAGACATACCATGTTCATGGATAGGAAGGCTTAACATTGTGAAAATCTCAGTACTTCCCAAAGCAATCTTTCGATACAATGCAATCCCAAACCAGATTCCAACACCATCCTTTAAAGAAATGGAAGAAATGATCATGAACTTTATATGGAAAGGAAAGAGGTCTCAGATAAGCAAAGCACTGCTTAAGAAGAAGAATAAAGTTGGAGGGCTCTCACTCCTTGATCTCAAAATTTACTACACAGCCACCATGGTCAAAACAGCCTGGTACTGGTCAATGAAAGATACATAGATCAATGGAACAAAATTTAGAACCCAGATGTAAATCCACCCATATAGTGAACTGATTTCTTGCAAAGGACCAAAACACATTAAACAGAGAAGGGATAGTCTTTTCAACAAATGGTGCTGGCAAAATTGGAAATCAATATGCAGAATGAAACAAGACCCATATTTCACACCATATGCAAGAACAAATTCAACAAATTTACCTATGTAAAAGCTAAAACTATAAAGATCATCAATGAAAAAAATAGGGGCAAATTTAAGGGGAAACCCTATACCAGGTCATTATGGGTTGGAATTGACTCGAGGACACTTAACAACAACAACAACAATACATGGCATATACACTATCAAACACTACAAAAAACACACAGACAGTAGAAGACAAATAGATGACTGGGACCTCCTAAAAATTACAAACTTATGTGTATCTGTGAAATACACCAGTAAAAAATCAATCATCAAAGAGCAGGAAGGGACAATTTTCAAAATCATAAATATGAAGGACAATAAAATAAAGAGTGGTCCCTCAATATTTTTAAAGCACAAATTACTGCAAAAATAAGATGCTATTTTTGCCTATTAGATTGATAATTGGCAAGTCTGTGGAGAAACTAGTCACTTCTGGGACAATTTTCAAAATTGGTACAGCCTTTTGGGGTCAAGAAGGCAAGCTGCCAATATCTTTGAAAATTAAGAGCTCTGGTAGCATAGTGGTTATGAGTCAGGCTGCTAATCTCACAGTTAGCAATTCAAAATTATCAGCTGTTCCACGGGAGAAAGATGAGGCTTTCTGTT